TTAATTTTTAAAATAATTTAGTTCTTTTTAATGTATTAAGTTTATATAATAACTTTCTCTCAAGATTAAAAAAAAAAAAAATGAAATACATGCAAATTGAATGTCAAGAAGAAACAAATACCTTTCATTGTTGAATAATAATGCCGTTTGAGAATGTTCCGCCTAATGCATTATAGCCCTTAAAATTCGAGAATCTTTTTATAATTTAATTCTCTCTTGCATATATTGTTTAAGAGTAAGATAATGCAACCCACATGATCTCACATCTCTGGCCTAAAACTACTAAAGACTTGTCGGAGACTACGGAAAAGACGCTCTATGCCAGCTCATAAACCACTTCAATTTGCGTTCTTTTTGGCAGGAAGGAAACAAACTTTGGTCGTATTTATTTAGGCTCATTGGGTACATTAATACTGTGAATGTGTACACTAAGTACGAGGGATGAATTTAAAATTTTTATTATAATATCAAAATACAAATACTGTGAATGTGGATTTTTTTTTTTTTTAAGAAAAGGAGACAATTTTTTTCATTTCATTGAGAATAAAGTCCTTGCATGTTCCTTCAGCTGTCTACACTCTCCAGGTGTATTCAGGGTATGTACAATTTAATTTAATTTTATTTGTGTCTTACTGTTCTCTCAAGAACTTATTGTTGATTTTGATTTTTTGTTTTTTTTAACATGTAATCAGGGCCGGAACCAGCCCGCAACGGTAGGTAGGGCCTTTTAGCCTTTTGTTATGCTTTAATAATAGTTGCGTTGCATTTAAACGATTTATGTTTTGTTTTAAATTGATCAAATTAGAATAAATTAAGGGAAGAAAATTTTACACTGAGCTAAAATAATGCTTTCTCACACTCTCTCATTAATCTTAGTTTATTAGTTAGGAATGCTTGTTCCTGTGGTAGGGGATGATTAATTTTTTTTTTTTTTCATAACTCTCCTCTTCTCTTAAATTTCACTTTATCCAATTTAAGATTTTAATATAAGATTTTTAAAGAGCAACCTCAAGTTTTAAACAAGTTATATTTATCATTGTTAATAATTGAGTGAGACAATCGTGCGAAAATGGAGAGGATAAAGAAAGAGGAGGGTAACAAAAAAAAAAAGTGTGGAGGGAGCAAAGAGAGAACTACAATTAGAATTTAGGAGGTTAGAAACATGAAGTAAATTTAGGTCAGTTATATAAAAAACATAAGTTCTTAATTTAAGTCTCATTAAATTTTTATTTATTAATTATTAAAAAAATCTTTGGACTTTTTCTTTAGTTTATGGAAAAACCTTTCTAAATGAAGTCATTATAAAAATTTAACTTAAGAAGTAAGATTCCCATGCACTGGCAAAATCATATTAGGCAACTTTACTAATACTCTGGAATTATTTAATTTAATAGAAAGTCAGAACTGAAATAAAGTATTAGAATACAAAATACCAATAAAGATGGTCGAGCTGAAGCATAATTTCTCATCTTGAAGGCAAAGTAATCACTGGTTGTTCCAAATGACAAAACTGAGGCCCAAACATTTAAACTTCATACCTTCCCATGATCATTTAAGAGGGACAAAGGCAGTTTCTTCTCCGTCAAAGTAACATAATAGTTAACTTGACTTCTGATTTTGGAGCTTTCCACGGGAAAATTTGAGCTCTTCTTTAATACCAAAGTGCCCATTTGAATTAAGTAGTGATCCAGTAGCTCCTCATCAGCCGCATATACTCTTTTCTAGCACAGCACCAGCATGAGTTATGGAGCACCGCTTACTACTCAGGTTTATGCTATTCTATTTCTTCTGGTTCTACATCAATTAGCCTGCCCACAGATGAATGTAATTGCATATAAGCCGGTAACATCCAAGGATGGACATTAACTAATTCTTTTTGAAATAATAGTAATTGACCAGTTAATTACTTTAGTTAATCAGACAAATATTCAGACCATTCAACCAAAAAGTTTATGATGGTGTTTGGTCGGGGCAAATTTTTTATAGGTGGGCTGAAGGAAAAATGATCTTGTAAATGAAAAGGGGACCGAAATGCGGGTGGATTGGGTTGTTGAATTTGTTGATATGGAAAATTTGTTTCATATCAAAGGAAACATGTGGAGAAATAATCAATTTATTAGTTACCAGATGGTCCACATCTAAGCAAAGATATCTCTTCTGGTGAGCAGAGTACCACAGGAAAGGTAGAGTAGTCCGGGGAGCTAATTCATACGGAGCTGAAACTGAAATATATGTATAACAGGTACATTCAATAGTCCTTCAAGTGTGTATAAGGAACTTTTTCAAACCCAAATCCAATCATATTGCTGGGTTTCTTAGCACTTCATCTTTTTGGTTACATTTGGGCCAAATATGTGTCAAACCCAAATCTGATTGGTTATATTTGGGCCGAATGGATGTGTTCGGTTTACATATTATGGATATCCTTCATTGACCTCAATTATGTCTAACTGATCAACGGTGATGGCAGGGTACCAACTCTGGTCAAACAACTAGGAAAACCACTGTCGTTGATCAGAAATACTTGCCATATTTAGTCTAATACGAGGCGGATGATGCCAATAAAAGCAAGAAAAATATTTGGTGTGTGCAGGTTAGTGAAGCTGGAAGAAGTCAAGAGAATAGGCAACGGAGGGCGTCATGAGCCTTATATTTACACGGTATTTATGCTCCTAATTTCGTTCATTGCTCTTCCATATTTTCAATGCCATTCTTCTTGTTCAACTGGATATAAAAATTTAATATATAATAATTGAACGCGGGCGTTAGAAACGAAATTGCAATTAGTGGTAATACAATAGATAGATATAGAACTGTTTGAAGAAAATTTGATTAAGTGACTTTTCTTTTTCTTTTCTTTTCTTTTTTTTTTCTCATCAGTAGCCCAAAATTTTAGACTTTGATTAAGTTTTAAGTGGTGTTTTTGCATGTGCTTTAGCAGTATAGAATCATAAGTTATATTACAGTGTTACAATTTTATTTAAAACTGTAAGTTACAATCATAATTATAATGTGTTATTTTAATAAGTAAATATCCATAATATTATAAGTAAATCTTTAAATAAAAAATAATTGCATAATAATACAATATAATTATAGATTTGTAATGTCATACAATGTCAAATGACATTGTAATTATATTATTTTTAATTATATTAATATGAAATTAATATTGAGCCATATTTCTTTTTTGACATATAGTCTGACAAACTAGATTGGTGGTCTGTATGGAAATTCATAATGTGTTTCAAGGGTACGGAGTAATAGAATACAGAACTAGTGGTGAAGCTGTATGAGGTGATAAAATACAGAACACTTCATTTCCCAGCTGTGGCAAACTGTACAAGAACGCTTTAATATGATCACTTCACAATAACTTTTATACATTTCGAATCAAGTACTTTATCACTACACCTTACAACAACTTCTACTGCAGCTAAAAGTATTTTCTTGTATCTTACAAAATTTTAAAGGAGTCTTTTATCTACAAAAGAATAGAATTCAAAGGAAGTGTATTTAACCTACAAGCCTGGGGAAGATCCCTTTATTCCCAATTTACCAGGAGAAGCTACCTCCTTTGAAATCAAGTTCCGTTTTGTTTTAGGAGGTATCTTTAATCCCCTGAATGCAGTTTAAGGACTTGGGATCTAGTCAACTCCAACTACATATTCTATCATGCCAAATAACTACTTTTGCAACAAGAAGTTTACTTTTTGTATCTCTCAAAATTTTGTAAGTGGCTTTTATCTGCAAGACAATAGAATTCAAATGTTAAATTTTTTTCATGCAAAATGGATTGGGCATGATATAAATGATTCTTCCTGTCGGTACATGGCTCTAAGATTCAATAATCTAAGCCTAACATTTAATAACCTTAGTCAAGGACAAGGTGTTGATTCCTTAAAATAATTTACTAGTGTATATTATACAAATTGAAGACTTTTAACACAGAAAGAGCATTAGTGAATTGTGGCAGTGCATTTTGTAATTATTTTCCTATCACACATTAGAAAATGGGAGGACTTGGTGAAGATGAAGACACTCCAAACTCAGGCTACATTGTGCCTTACTCCAATCTATTGACAAATAGT